TCAGTTCCTGGCGACTCAGTGACCATTTTGTTTAATTCATGATGCGTAATAATTCATACACTGTCATACATTACAAATTTTAAGTACAAATTAATTAGAACACTGAGAAATAGTACAAATGAAGAGCCAGGAAATAAAATTAAACAAACAATGGAGAAAAGAATTACACTTAAACAAAGAGTAATCATGATAATAATGATGATAAGGTAGATATAAACGCAAATGTTCAGAGTGTTGCTCAGAGAAGTTGAAGATTTAAAGTTATAATAACTCTAGAAGGATTTTGTCCTAAAGATTAGTTCCTGAATAGACAACTGTTTGTTTTCCAGAGTTATTCCACACTTAAGGTTTACATAAATTTTTTTGAAAACGATTTCGGAAGGAATCCACTTAAACAGGCCTTTGTGCTGTAGATGCAAAACCTTTAGATCATTGTTTTGTTACACGTTTACTGTTAGAATGTCTAGAATGTTGAGCAGATGGAGGGCGCTATCTGTGTGGTTACGAAATGTATCAATAACAGTGGGGCAAAATTCCCTCTTGGTTGTTCTAAAGTGAGCAATCAATAATTGCTAAGAAGATACACATGCAAAATGCATCTTCTGCTCTTCTTTGTTCACCAGCGTTTCGTTTGCAGTGTGGCTGTCACTTGGGATTGAGATTGACAGAATATTCCAAGCTTAATCACGATTATTCTCTTGAGGAAAATGGTAGGTAAGTTGGCACAACTCTTGCATCCCCAGCACCTGGATAAGTCATGTAAAATACCATCTTTCTTTCGTTGTATTCTGAACCTCTCAATACCTGGCTAATTAATGAGTTGATAAAGGATAATGTTAATTGGGAAGACAGTATTAAAAGGAAAAATGGCAACTTTGCAAATCCTGAAAAGTTTCCCTCAAAAACTAACAGAACTTCTTATAAAGGTTTTTTATAAGTAAATAGTGATTGAAACAAAATATTCTGAAGGATGTGATCTTTTGGCTGGGTTGAGTGAAGAGTACTGTATGTGGTAGTGGGGGCAGATGGTGCGCCATTCGGCAAGGATGACACAGTCACCGCAATTTAGCTTGCTTTCTCAACCTGCTGAACAGAGTACAAAGTTGTAATGATAATCATTTACTCCTCGGTGCCAACTGTGAAGAAGATCATCCACTCATGAAATCTTACTCAAATCACCTGAAGGAAGAAATGGAACAGATTGAAGGGTAGACACTGACCACTGAGAGAGGGGAGCAGGTTGTGTTCAAATTTGAACTGATACCATCTGACATAAAATGGATGTCATCCCACTCTCGAGAACTAAACAATTGTACAACCTACTTTTCACCTTTTGCCAATGTTAATCAAACAAACAAGGGAACCCTTGGTGGTTTTATTGGTTGCCCTAAAGCAGCATGGTTACAATGTTGCTTTAGGGCCACGAATAAAACCACCACAAAGCAACATGGTAACCATGGCAGTACACCGAGAGACTGGCCATTGCAGAGAAAATGGAAAAGTCGAAGAAAAGACTTAAAGATCCCAAGGGCAAACAAAAAAGTCATATTACCAAATTTATTGTTCAAAACAAGTCGAGACAAGAACTTCTTCCTCTGTTGGGGAAGTATGTTGATTTACTCAAGGCGGAACCTCTACATCACACTTCTTTTGCTTCTCGCTTAACCACCAAAGGGAGACCTTGCGTAGTCTCCCACACTTGACGTTTCAGGCACTTAAAAACCGCAAGCAGAGGGGAACTTTCTGGAAGATCAGAGACTGTTGTTGCTTCCTTGAGATGAGTCTAGTTTGTGTCCTGCATTACAACAGAGAGTGCAGCTGAAAACCAGTTCTGCCAAGCATTGTTTGTGTATTCCATTCTCATATGGATTCACATGGCTTGAATCAAAGTACTTTTGTTGGCATTTTGCCACTTTGATACAGGAACTTCTGACGATCAACTATCTTTCAAGAGGTCCGTTGTGAAACTTCACACTTTGGCATTTGTTGCAGTCAAATTCAGATATGCAGTTTCTATTTACTCAAGAGTTGAGGTGCGCATTGAGCAAGTAGAAAAGCTAAAGACCTCATGCCAACACACACCAAGAAGTTTAACATCTGAAGCTTGGGTCTCAATTCAATGCAGGGTAGAGAGGCAAAGCATGTTAAGCTGGCTTAGTATGTGGAAAACAAACGCAATGCCAAAAAGAGCTTAAGGTGGTGGACGGTGTTCAGACACAAATTTGTCCACATGATGTGCCTTAGAGAAAGGAACCCCAACAGCATTACGTATTGCATCGAGGAGAGGAATTCAGCGATTCTTACATTCCTAGGAGAGTTTAAGATTGTGACCACAGGTTTTGCTATTGTGGACTTTCATGTAGGTTATTTCTTTCATTATGGTGCAGTATCTAGGCAAAGTGTCACTCAATTTCCACCAACATAACATTAAACTTGATGACACAATTATTTCTATGTATACATGTATGATCCAAAAAGAGACTTGGTAGCTTATTTTAAT